ATTCATATTTTATTATCTACATAATAACACATTATTTATATTCAGTTTCTATACAGGTTTCATTTCATCACCATGTCTAAATTATGTATGCATAAACTGCAAGTGATTGTCCAACAGACCAGTGACACAAGGTGAGTACTACACCTGTCTCTTATACACATCTAGATGTGTATAAGAGACAGTATATATATATATATACAAATATAATATAACGACTGTTGTTCGGTACATAATGCATAGATAAAGTAACCTGCAACAATATATTTCTTGACAGCTCTTGTGAATAATATAGATCTACTGTTGAAATGCTATATATCACAGCGCATTTATACACAAACGAGCGTTATCATCTACATCCAATGGGAGCTACATACCAAATCTCTATGCCAAATCCTAGATTTTGTAATTTCACATGCATGTTTACGTATTTTACCACCAGTTACTAAAATTGGTGTTAATTATCAGAGTCGCATAGGCTACACCTCAATTTTCTTCTATAGGTTACTGTTATTTATACTTTTTATTAAAACTGTTGCTAAGTTATAGATATATTAACCCATAAAAAATAGTATCTTACTCACCGGTGTCTGGAGCTAAGTTAACCATTATCATAGCGTTATAAACGCGTATGGCCGGGCGATCCATCTATTTATACGATGGTGTTTGGAAAAAAAAGCTCATACAACAGAGGGCAGTATTTGATATTTGCACTAAGATTTGTGTTAAAATATCTTGTTTGAACATAAAAAAAATAATAAATCTGTTACGTACGCTTAGGAATATTCTGGAGTATGTGTTAAACTGGCAATAATTATTTGCCAAAATTTCAAAATACTGTTCATGAATGATTCGTTTCACATTAACATTAAGATCTTGTGAAATTTGATCGTTTGTTGGTTTGTTCAATTTTTCGGTCATTCTTTCGTTTATTCATATTTATATCCGTTCATTCAATCATTCACTCGTTCATTGATTGATTGATTGATTGATTGATTGATTGATTGATTGATTGATGGATTGATTGATTCATTCATTCATTCATTCATTCATCAATTGATCGGTCGACCAATTAAGATTGACTGGTAATATTTTATTTTTGCAAGTCTTATAATCCTATGCTATGATATAAATTCACAATGTACAACTTATTTTTGGTCTACAAACCTCAAGAAGTATAGCCTACTATTACACTAAGCTATGCCAAAATATCCATATACCAACACACAGAAGACCAGATCATAACTGTTGGCTATTCATTTAGATACGTCAATTAGAGGAATCGTAATTATAATAAATTACCAATAACCAATTACATCTAACTATAAAATAGCTTCTAAGTCTACTAAATAGATATACACATAATTAAAAATATATATACTTATGTCAAAAGCCGTTCGTTAAGCAGTTAGATTTTTGGGGGAACTGTTTCACATGACATATCGCTGTTTTCCATCTGTTTAAAATATGACAAAATCAGATATTGCGGCTTTTATAATCAACTTAATGTAGATTAATCGTTTCAAGCCTTTGGGATTGAAACGCTAATGTTCTCTTTTACAGATTACAGTAACTGTTCTTCACTGTTCTCATTCCAATCCCCCCTAATCTACTCAAACGTAGGGCTAATGTCAAAATCATAATGATGTTATAGGCCCAATGTTTCAAACCGATAGTGCCTTGTGTCTCATAAGACGAACTCTCATAAATACGAGTGTGAAGTCCCGAGCTATCCAGCTCGAGTCTCGATGCTCGCGCTATAATTAATCTGTCCAGGCTATCGCATTTTCTTTGACAAAAAACTGTTATATACCCATATATGATGTGCCTATATCAGGGACGGATCCAGAGATGTCGGAAAGGGGCCGAAAGTGGGGTCGATCGGGATAACACTTCCCTGTGGGTTCCGGGGCATGCCCCCGCGAAATTTTGTTTTCTAAACGCCCAAAAATAACCTGAGGCGTTTTGGGCAATCAATTTTTTTTCACTTTCCAAAAGGGGGCACCGGGGCCGGCCCGGCCTCTCCCCCTAAATCTGCCCCCATATATATGGTCATGATGTGATGTCATCATGAACATATAGGCATGGCCATATTTAGGCGTGTTACATGTTTTTGTCATAAAACAATTTTATTATGGACAAAGCTTTAAAAGACTCACACATTATGACGTGACACATGCATGGACATTAGGCCTACACCACATTGAAACAATATCAATCTAAATAAGAGAATATTTGATTTTTTTTTTAATGTAATGTTGTGTAAACTACATGGCGCCTTCAAAAGTGATGAGTAAGGGGACAAGAAACATTCTCTTTTATTTGAAACATTTCTTCTTTAATTAAAAAGTGATATATGCACCATCAACATTATTTAAGAGTAAGCAGATAGGCTTTATGGTTTAAAAAAATGCTCAATAGTTCTTAATGTACGGTATATGTTTATAGACATGTCACTATTAATAGCAGGGAGTACTGTATTCGATCTTACTTCAATTAATGAAACGTTGGAATTGATCGGATCCATCAAAGCAAAATTTTAATTAGTCCTGTAAGGTATGGATCAACGCGATGTCTAGAAGAAGCCAGACTCAAATTTATTCCAAATTAGCGATTATGACTCCTATCTGTTGATGAAATCCAAAATATAATTTGAACGTTACTTTGAAAATGCATTTCAACATATTAGTTCTGAGTTTAAGCATTGGAAATGTGTACTTACGACGTGTTATTGCCACTGTGAATGACACGTTTATACGCGACGAACTTAAATGTAGGCCAAATGAATTGTCAATTTTTAGGGATATTTAATTACTGGAGTTAAAGTGGCCCTCGTGAGTTGATGCGGCAATCAAGTTTTATCTCTAATTGGTCCTTTCTATTAATGTTGGAAATGTAAACATTATTAGCACTACCCTGTGATTGAATGTGAAACAGAGTGTGTGTAGGAGGGCCGATTATGACGTAGTTGTCACGTGAGCAATCATTTTAGTATTGCACACGTTACATCTATTTAACAAACTCTTTATAGGTCAGGTTTAAAAACACACTGATTTATCAAATCCACAACTGAAAGAAAGTGAAATAATGATTTATGGATGGTATATTTGATTAAAAAACCGTCATGGATTTTTTGTAGGTATATCAATTTTTTTATCTTATGTTATGATAAAAATACTAACCATCTAACCACATACTGTACCTAATAATAATAGGCATAATAATGACAATAATAGTGATAATGATAACGACAACGGTAACTATAACATCAATGACGATAAAAATAAGAATAAATTCCACCAACAATAATTAAATTTATGCTATTAATACAGTAATACTAAATAGTAAGTCTTTTGTGAATTTATTTGATGCCTCTGCAGAATAGTCAACATAGTAGTACCGGTACTCTTGTATACTATTAAGTTGTATTAACCACCTCGTATATATATAGAATATTATATAGAATATTTTGTTTTATGTTAGATCACTATAATAACTTCCTGGTTAGATCAACATTTTAGATTCCTCTGAGTTTCATCAATCCAGGATTATCATCATTATTGATGTATAATAATCCCTACTTGTAACTCGAGATTGAACGATGTTCCTTTACGTGGTAAACCATGAGTTAGATTGATATTAGTTTTAAACTAGTTTACGTCGATTTACTTTAACATAAGCTTAGATGAAATTGCAGTCAAGTTAAAATCATATCACACCTTTAAGAAACATCAGGTTCGCCTTGGATGTAGTTCTTCGGCTTGTACCGTCATAATTTGTGGTGTCGTCTATATTGGGACAAATATTATTTTTGTAATATTTCTTCACTGAGTAAATTTATATTAGTAGTCACGGTGTTCAGTATC